TTATTTTTTATACCGAAAGAAACCCGGCTTATACACTTTTATATAATATATAATATTATGTGTGTATTTAAAGTTTTTATTGTTTTGGTTATTTAAATTTTCTAAGTTGAATACCAGTTTATCATTACCATTAATTTGTTTAACTTATAGATATGCTAAAATCTGTAGGAAAATTAAAGTAAAACTGTTCTTCATCAAACTTTGTTCAACTCTAAGATTCAAAAACGTTGTAAGATTATAAAATTTTAAATTTTAAAATTTAGTTTAAAAAATTCAAGGAATAGTCAAAAATACTTGTACTTTTTGAAATAACAAGAATTTTTATAATATTTGTCACGGTAAATTAGAATGTTTTTCTTTTTTGACAAATTTTGTTATTTTAAAAATAATTTTGATTAACTTTTTAATTATACTTAAATGATTATTTAGTATATTTAATTTTAATTTTCTTGGATAACTTGTATAATTGTAAAAAAAATACAAAATTCTAAATAAAATAAATTCAAAATTATTTTAACCTAAAATTTTATATTTAAAAAAAAAAAAAATCTTGTTTATTTTTACATTAAGAAAAATGTATAGTTTCTAATTCATTGAGCTTTAATTTAACTATTTTTAGTTAATTTAATTAATTAAATAAAGTATCGTGTCTAAAAAACCAAATCTTATATTATAAAGTAGTAGGTATGTACAATAATAGCATCAAGCAAAATAAAAAATAAATAAATAACAATCCCATAACGTACTGTATACAATTTTTGTATTTCATAAATCATAACATTATTATACGTATGACCATGATATTTTTGAAAATAACGAGGTATTATAATATTAGAAAAAAATGAATTATACATTTTCAGGCTTATTAATATATATATATATTTTTTTTTTTTCTAAGATTTTTTACGCCATACAATTTTGTCAATACGAAATAATATGAAGTTAATAAAACTCTGAACGTGACTCGTTTTATATTATTTATGATATTATAGTATATATTTTCGATGTTAAGGGAGGTACTACAACGTTAACAAGTAGTATTAATTTGCTTTTACAATCATCATGAGTATAGGAGATAGTATATGTTTCCATTGTGATAGGTACGCAATTGCAGAATGAGTAATAATGTTTCAAGTTAAATAAAATTTTTAATTTATTACATATCGAAAATAAATCATGTTATTTAACAAGTAGGTTAACATTTTACTAAAATACCATTATAGATCAGTGTCGGTATTATGGTCTGTTATGTGTCTAATTTCTCGATAAAAACGAAAGTTGTGTTCAATCCAAACATGGATTCGGAAATTGCGATCTAATAATTTTGGCGAAACGCGTAATGGCAAAAAAGTGTAAAAGAAATTTCACATAGGCAGTCGTATTTTTTTTTTTGTATTCAAACTGAGAATAAATTTAAACCATTGTTTTATATTATGAAGTGAACTAACAGAACATTAGAACCTCATTCACAGATTATTTACAATATAAAACGAGTGGTGAAAATTGACAGTAAGTAATGTAGTTTTTTCACATTAACGGCTCAATAAATCATCATTAAGTTATCAAATATGCAGTGAAAAAAAAAAGGTATTGAATGTAATAACACCAATGTTACTATAACTTTTTTCAATGCATTTTGCAATATGATGACGTTATTTAAACTAAAAATAAGTATTTACCGAATAATAATAAATTCCATAGACTAATATAAAGCGTAGATAATGCGTATCGTAATGTTAAAAACGTAAATATATATTCTAATATACACCATTCGTGAATTTATAAATAGAAAAAAAACTAAGTTGGTATGAAAAAAACAATTTAAAGAACAGCTATACAACAAACACTAATAAAACAAAAACAACAAGAATACTTATTAAGTAAGACGTAAGAAAAATTTACATTTGACGAAGAAAATATTTATGTATTTGAAGATTGTAAACCATTAAAATTTTGTCTTGTGGAAACTGCTGATATTTATAATGTAATATGTACAATTTACCTACTGAGAAATTATAAATAATTGTAATATATTATAGTAACAAATATCTTAAAAAAAAAAAAAAAAAAATGATTTTTGTTGAATATATTATATAGTGACTTACTTTTTACTAAATATTTACTGAGTGTAATTATAATAATATAATGTTAATTTAATTTATAGACAAGAAATACTAATTCTGACGAGAATTTGCGTAAATAAATTTGTAGAATTTATATAATTATATAATAAAAATTAGTTTTCAAAAACGTAGAAATCCAAGTTTGTGTTTTGTTTGGAAAAAAACTGTCGTTTTAAAAAATGAAAAATGTAAGCACCATATAATATTATATTATTTAAGAGTTGTTTTCGAATATTTACGAAACGTAATACCTACGTTGAAAAGAATAAAAACACCTTTCGTTTGAACTAAGCTATTATAATATAGTATAATACTGAAAAAAACAAATGACTAACAAAACGTCTCTCTCGCTACTCCGATGTGCATGACGGTTTACGCACAAGAGTGTCAGACGAGATTTAATTATTTCTTACGGCATGTAGAATTGAATTTGCTGAATCAGAGACATATTTCCATTAGGCACGCTCGAGATTCTAGGAATACCAGGATTTACAAGACACTTCGTGTTAGATTTTTTTTTTAATCATCATCAAGTCGTTATATAGCAAAAATTAAACAATTTTTACGTTTGCCACAAGAATAAGCTATAGTAATAATGCGCAGGAATTTTTGACTTGATTACATTAAAAAAAAGAAAAAATAATAAGCATAAGACGTTTACTCTTGAAAACATTATTTGGCAGTGATCTTAGGGCCACGATATTTATGATTTAGGTGTCGTTCGTGAATCTATATTCATCGGTATATGAAATCACCCTGCATATGACATTGAATAATATTTTAGACTAAACCATGGACACTTCTTGATTTTATTGAATTACAATAAATTCGTGATCTAGAAAACTTCTAGTATTTTAAATGTATACGTACGACTAAATGACTAACAGCGACATGATTTCGAATAATTTAGTGAAACTCAATTGTATGATTAATATTACGTATAATGTTGTCGAAGATTAAATAAATAACACTTAATTAGATTTATCTCATCCAGGTTAATTCCAATGACATAAGACGTAAATTAAAAAATTAATTATATTATTTTATGTTTTCAGACAGCATTATAGTAGTTCAGATGATATAATTTAATTATATTCTATATAATGTATAAATATATCTAAATCTATTTTAGTTATTATAATAACTATAAACTATGGTTCAGTATTGCTTAAATTTAAAGAAATCTGAAATTATGTACTCGAAAATTATTAAATATAATTATTGAATTGTGGTAATATTAGTAATGGAAAAGTTTAGAGGAGCATATCAAAGAAGTGTACCAAAGTTCCATATGGTGCTTCTGTGTCACTCACTCCACTCATCAAATTATAATGTTTACAAGTAATTAACTACTAATTTGAAATTGGATTTTAATATTATAATGCAATTTTCTGAAAAACATTGTTTTTTGGAGTGTAAAATTAAAAATATATACAAAAAGAAATTTTACATCATAATGAATATATTTTAAATCATAATGATAAGAAAGTTAGTTTTGTAATGTCTACAAATCATATAAAAACAAATTAAAAAAAAAAAAAAATAATAAAAATGCTTTTAATTTTACTTAACCTAACCCTTTTTTTTTGCTGTAATAGGATAGAAAATCATTTTAAAATAATTGTAATTTATATCAAACTATAAACATTTTACAATTTATATTAATTATTCAAGTACCTATAATACAAATTTGAATAAGTCTTACTTTTATTTAAAAACATTATTTAAGACGATTATAGTTATGCATTTTTAAAATCCAGAAATAACTTCAATATCAAAGTTATTAAAAAATAAATCTGTTTAACAATTTAAAACTAAAAAAAAATTCATTGTAACTTTAAAAAAACTGAAGATTGTAACTGGACACTAAGCAAAGTTGGCAATGGTATACAATTCTGAATCTTTAAAATATATAATATTTTTAATTAAATAATTCAAAATGTAAAAATTAAAACTTGAGTGAATTCTTTAAGAATAAAAAAGGAAGAGACTAAAATCATGACATATTGATTTTCTAATACATCGTTTTATTGATACCTGTGTTTGTAATATATCATACTTATGGTTGAAAATGAATCTTCCCTATTACTTAAAATTAAAAATTATAAAAATTTTACTAAAATAAAATTATTAGTTAGAATCACGAACGTTGTTTAAGTCTTAACTATATAAACAGTTTTAATTTTTCACCGTACTCGTGTTTTAAATTAAAAAAATGTAACATTATTCTAACCAAATTTTAGTATAGAAAATCATTCATCTTATTTAAAATTCTGGTAGAATAAAGAATATGTTTTTTTTAAATTTATTTTATTTTAGTTTTTAATTTTTGATACAATATTCCTTATAAGTTGGTAATATTGGAATATTTGGTAAAAAAAACTGGTGTATTTTCAAATGTGATTCAAAGTACTTCCTAGATTTTTCTGATCTCTATGGCCAGTTTGAAATTTTTGTCAAAATTAATAGAGTAGTTTTCGAATATAAAAACTACTAAATACTAATGTATATAAATACATTTTGCTCAATCGGTTTGTTGTAGATATCAAGCTTATACAAACGCACATTTGTTTTTATATAATTTGATAGTACGTAACTATAGTAATAATAAAACTTTGCGCCTTTACTTTCTCCGCCTAATCCTTAAATCCGAACATAGTACTAAAAACAGAATGTACGTAAACAAAGCAATTACATATATAGCTCTTATTTGGTCGCGAATTGCTTCTAAATGTAGAGCCAAGGAAAACCGCCTCAAATTCGTCCACTGGAAGTACCTACAGTGACTATTACTGAATGCCTCTAAACTAAATTTACCCAACGATCTAAAAATTAAGCTACAAATATTAACTACAGTAGATAGCTTAAATAAATAGTTTAGGTTATAACAACGATAGTACGACGGATAAACACCGACCTGGACGTGTCGGGGGATGTGGGCTTGGAATCGGGCGAGGCTACTTTTTCCAGGCCCCGAGACAGCCGCAGCATTTCCGCGCCGAACTGGTGTAGTGCCGACATGGTGGACGGCGTGGGTTCGGTGTCGGGCAGCCACAGTTCGCGGGCATCCAGCGACGTCATTTCCGTGTCGGTCGACCCAACCGAAGGGTTGTGCCGGAAGGGCCGCGGCGTGCTCCGACAACTTGTGTTGGGCGTCACCGCCCGGTGATGGTGACGGTGATGATGGTTATGATGGTGACCGAACCGTGGACTGTTGTCCACGCTGTCAGCGGCACCGCTGTCGTCTTCAGCCGCGGCCGTGGATTGCGAACCTGATGACGGTGCACCGTTTCCGGTACCGGTCTTCATAGCGCTTGGTCCGGCCGTCGAATCGCTGCGACCCTTTTGCTTCCGGCCGCCGCCGTCTATTGACGACGCCATCACGCCGGTCAGCTCTTCGCCAATCGCCGACCGAACGTCCGTCTCGTCCGACCGTGTCCTCCGATAGTTCCGGCGTAGCATACGCCGCCAACTCCTCCTCGTGTTGTCTGCAAGTGCATAAAAAAAAATATAAAATAAAATAAATAAATTAAAACAATTTTTCGACTGTTTATTGATTACAGTATTATTACTCATTTCATTTGTTGAGACGCTTTTTTATGCGTACGTACGTATATATATGGGGGGAGGAGGGCGTTGATACTGATGGAAGCCGTCCGTTTTAAGTCCATTCTCAGAATTAGTATGTATAGGACCCTTGGCCAGAATAAGCTTTTGAAATTATACACATCTGGTCATTCAATTTAAACAGCATAGAAAGTTCAGATCAGTTTTAAAATAGACATTAAGAGCTTGGGTGCGAAAATCACTAAATAAAATTGGAACGCCAACTTCACTCACGTATATAAGTCACTTGTACCGGATTTAGAAAAGTAATTTCTGTATTAAATGCAACATAATGGAAAATATTTCAATTTTCTGTTTCTAGTTGATCAAAAGAACTTAAAAACTTTTAATGATTCCGCGGCGAAACTGTCGCATTTCACAACGCGTTAAAATTATGATTCACTACTTAAGCACACACTTGAAATGTGCTGCTCCTATTGTATTATCTCTAAAGAAAAACCCTGTGGCACTCAATGTTCCTATAATTATCGCGAAAATAATTTAATCCAATTTATTGATTCATTGACAGTCAAAATAATAAAATATAATCACGATAAGTATTATATTTAATTACCGCTGTATAAACATTTAACACACGTCAAAATAATTGTCCACTAAATTACTAACATATTATTGTGAAGTATCTATACAAATTGATCCACTAAGCATGTCCACCTTTTTTTATGTTTTAGTAATATATTGATTTAAACCATGATATTTGGAATTTTCAAACAAAACTGAAAAATATTCAACCGATTTTTACCACATATTTGAATATTTAGATTTTTTATATTATTTAAAAACATTTTTTCATTAGAAATATTCACTTCGTTTTTTAAATGAAGAACACATTTTACTGATAATGCATTTTGTTCTCGTTTTAAAAACTAATACAAGACACGGTACTTAATATCGCTGCGAGTCTAATTATTAGTATATTATTTTTATACATTAATAATACACTGTAACTCGCAATGTATTTGAAATAAGTTTAAAAAAACGTCACATGCTTTTTTTATACGCAGATCAAACTATATTAATTTACGCACTTCGTCTTTATTATATCTGTAATTTTTTTTTTAAAGTTTCGTGTATATCTTTATACCCACGATTTTGGAAAATTTCGAAAACTATATATTTTTTTTTTTTTAGTAAACTTTTTAAAACGCAAAATAAAGTAGATTCAAGCCACAAACTATTCGGCCGAATTAACTTTTGATATATGATCCTACATCGGACAGTACGCGTAAACTATTCATGTGGGAGATGCCTTTGATAGGTACATGAATACAACTATTCATTTAAAAACATAATATATTATATATGTATACATTTATTTATATACCATCGAGAATTGTTATCGTAAAATGACAAATCGACGGAATCACAAAAGAAGCAAACAACTATTGACATCGCGCAGTATATTATATATTTGTTATATATAGTGTAACGAATATATATATAGATATATTAATAACACACAAAACAGAAAGGCCAACTGTTAAAATAGTGATATTTTGTTGTTATTTTTTTTTTTTTTTTTTTGAAGTATGCCTTTGGCTTACGCGACTAAACTCATATATTTCCAGCAAACAAACAAAACATTATTACTATCCAACTAAATACGTGGACACCATATTGATTAGACATTAAGAGAGCGCAAAGAAGATAAAGTAAAAAAAAGCTCGCCCTTTTATATGTATATGAAAAGTTTAAGTTCTCGGGAAATAATTATATCTATTTTTAAAATCAATCAATTATGTAACTGTTTAGATATATTTGAACCAATTATTCATTTATCCAGCTTGTTTTTACTTTAGTACTTTTAAGGACAAACAATAAAAAAAGTATTGACATTTAAAAATAAAAAATTATATGACAAAAAAGAAATAAAAACATTTTTGGCTCATAAAAATATAGTGGTTAATTTATTTAATTTAATAGAAATACATTTTAATATGTATATTGAGCAAAAAATAAATAAACATGATGTAAAATTGATTTTGTTTCATTTGACTTTGTGTATATTTTAATACTCAAGATCAAATTGTAACACTTTTTCCTAAACGTGAATAATTTAAATATATATGTCCTACTTGAGTTTATGGTATTAAATAATATTGTGCTAAGACAAAACACTTGATTGTTGATACATTCAATATTTTACTATTTTTAACCATTGTCAACGATTTGTAACATAGCGTGTCGTAAATGAAATTTGGTACGTGATGACTGTTTGGATGAACAACAATAGTTCATAAAATATTTGTCAATATTTTATTATGACACTTAAATTGTTGTTTAATTTACATGGCATTTTTATTGGTTTTATAAAAAAAATTAATTTAACAAAATTAAAAGCAAATTTAATATTTTTAATACTTCCAGGCTACAATTCCTGGAAGATCATTCAAAACACATAATTAGAATAATCAATATTCAGTGTCCGTGATGAATTATTAAAAATTGTATTTTAATAATATTTTTTTTTACCAGTCACTGAAGTATCTTAAAAAAATAATGTCTGAATGAAATGAATATACAATTACATGGGAGAGGACATCTTGGATAGGCGATAATAATCAACGCTCTGTATATATTTTTTCGGATGCTATCAAAAAAGTAAACGAGTTGTGAGTTTTATATTTTAATTTTAACGTTATATTTAATTCTGTTACATTGTCAAGCGACTGAGAATGGTGTATGGAAAGTTAGAAAAAAAACATTTTGTTTCACTACTGTTTGGAGTGCAAAAAAATAAAAATTATAAAACATCGTCGCGAGTTGCATATATTTTAGAGGTTTTTTGGGTTACTTCGTAATATTATTATACGAACCCTTCTAAAGTTTTTCGGAGCTGTTTTATTTATTTTTGTAGATTTCACATCCATCTGTTGATCGGCTTAAAAAGTACCCATACTCGGATTAAAGCGCGACCACTGTAATTTTAATGAAAGTATTATTTATTAGTATTGAGATTCAAATTTGTTATACGTTCGGGTTAGTTATCAAAAAGTAGACGTACGCGCTTGAATGGTTTCATCCCGATTTCAATCAGTCGATGATTTGAAAAAAAGTTTTAATTCGATATTGCGTATGAATATAATATTATATTTCGATTAAATATAAATAACATAAATAATGTTAACATATCATAATACACGTGCAGTTTAAAATTGCGAATATTTGTAAGATCCCTTCAAAATTATAATATTAAAACATTATATCGTAGTAAAAATTAACGAAAATTCAATAAAAAATATAATATAATGCAAACATGAACGTTAATACCAACATTTATATTTATCATATTAACATATAATCATTGGAAAAGATGACGAGTGCAAAATTTCGTAAATACATTAGCTATACGTGTATACGTAATATTTTTATGATACCTATATATTATATATTATATATTTATATATTGTGTTTAATTTATGCTTCAAATATTATTTTAAACACTCGTTGTTAAGTAATTATTTTTGTGAATAAATAAAAGCTTTTGTTATTAATGATTGAGCACCAAAAAGTAATGTTATTTTTTACGTTTACCTATTTAAAAATAACGGAAACAAAAGTTATTTTGTTTTATTTTTCAACTATTTTTTTTTTCTGATTGATGTGTATTGTAATAAAAAACAATAAATATTTACTAAAATTAACATTTTATAGTCCTTAGTTCGTATAACTTGTGTAACTGATACGTATGCTGCCTTATGTACGTATATTCATATATATATATATATATATATATATATATATATATATATACATATATTTGTATAGCTTTGATATATTTAAATGTATAGGCACATTAGTGCACGAAACTGATTTTTATATTATTTGAAAGAAGAAGGAATCTAGTTTTATTATTTCTGCTGGAGAACGAAAACGTTTGGATAATCGCGTGGGAGGTCATATGGTGGAAAATAGCAACGCCCTAAAATGTGTAGACAGTCAATTATTTCGAATACAATATTAAATTGCATTATATATATATATATATATGTTACTATATATATATATATATATATATAGTAATTTATTTTATTCGTGCACGCAATTTTATTACCTATTGCTGTAATTTGACGATTATAGATGTCCATGAAGTGACCCCCTTATTTCAAAATTGATATGCATTTTAAATTTATAACATCCAAGCAATTAATATTCATATTATATTTAATTATTCTTTATTTTCGTACTTATAAATCGGGAGATATTAATTTATATGTTTAAAAAGCAAAAGGGGAGAGTAGGCAACAGCTCTGCTGTTAAATAGGTATCGAGTGCTGCACCTTGTAATTGAATAGTTCACTATTACAGTGAGTAGTGACAACCGTTGAGCATGTATTACATTCAAATTCAATAATACATTGTTGTGAGTAAAGAAAAAATAAATAAACATTTAAAATGTCTTTAAATAACTAAGAAAATTAAAGTATTTTGAAAAGTATACTGTGTGCATAGAAAATGTTAAAAATGTAATGAAGACTTCAAGTATCTATAGACATTTTTTTTTTTTTTTGAATTACAACATAAAATGAAAACTGAACAACTGGTTTAACGTAGAAAGTCCAGTTTATCCAAATTATTAAGAAAAAATATTGAACATATTTTTTGTATAACCTCCCAAACTACAAACTGGATTTATTTTCTAATCAAAAAAGATTTTTAAGTTAAAAATCTAAGTATTTTTTCTGCTGTCCCAAAGAGTAATGATGGATACACAAAAATAAATAACACACATTATTATAGAATTCATGGCACCACACCGAATTTAATAGATAATGAATAAACATATTTTTTATAAATGTTTACTAAAAACTGAATTTCAAATATTCTATATACATTATACATGACATTCCGCACATGCGTT